TATATATATATATATATATATATATATATATATATATATATATATATTATATTAATATATATATATATATATATAAATATAGATATATATAAAATGGAACACCAGAATATGAGTGTACACGGATACAAGTTTTTTCAGGATAAGAGCTGAAGCTCAAGAATTTTTGTGTGCCCCAGAATACAAAGCAATACAACACACATATGCATGTGCACACGCGCACACACACACATACCTTTTTTTGTGGTCTAGGATGGGGAGTCGTGGACATGAGGATTTAGGGTCCATTCACCATGAACTGGCAGATTAAGATTGTTATTTTTGCCCCAACAGAAAAAAACAAATTCTTCTTAGCAAGGTTCAAACCCAGCTATTCCACAGAAAGCTCAACATTATAATCCTGCCCCTAAAAAAAAATATGTTTTTTAAAATAAATGTGTCCATGTAGGAGGTTGGTGGCAACACAAGCGTGCTTTTCCCACTGTCTTTTGGACCATTACACAGTGAGAAATGAATATTGTCCATGGTATGACTCATACCTCTGTTGGAAAAACAAGAGAATGATTTTTGTTTTTCTGAAGTGCATGCCAAGAAATCAAACCCAAGCAGATTTAGAGTTGTGAAACACATTCACTTTCCTCAGGGCACAAAGCCTCGCACTAATTACATTGAATTAAAGAAAAAAATTCTGATTGGTATCTGGGTCCCATATATAGGGAAAAAATAGAACCACTGCTCATTAGTAAGCATGTTTAAAAAAAAATAATGAGAAATCTGTTAAAATCAGAAGTGTTGGCCTGAAATGCATAGATATTGCAGCATATCTGTAAACAACAATGGGGTCCCATATACTGGAAAAAATAGAGAACCACTGCTCATTAGTATGCCTGTTTTGAAGGATAACTAATTAGGAGTCTGTAGAAATTGGATGCATGGTCCAAAGGTGTAGATAGCGCAGGCTAGCTGTAAACAACAATACAACTGCCAAGGCCTTTCTAAAAGTTAACAGAGAAGAAGAACGAAATTTCTGTGCTGTACTCTCTCATATTTTCAAAGTTATTCTCTCATACCATTTAAGTCTTTCTATTCTGTGCAGACACCATTTACTCTTTCAGAAAAGAACAACTCATCATTAATTCATTGGTTAATACTTACATTATATATTGTCTTCGACTTCACATAGCACATCCAGTTCTTATGGCACCAATCAGGTCCAGCTGTTACTTCAACTCATTTAACTCCTCCTTCCTCATTTTATGATCGATTATGCATTACTTGGTGGTAAACTGAGTCCTGACAAGCTAAATGTTGTAAGGGCCCTTAGGGAGCGAGTAAAAAGTGCAGAGGCACAAACAGATCAACACAGTCGGAAGCGAATGGTGTAGCAATGAGTAACCAGGAGACCTGGCCACAGCTAAACACTCAGGGGGATGGGCCAGGTGGACATACAATCAGAATGGTACCATCACCAGAATTGGAACTCTGCACTGGCTGCTGAAGATGTGGATAAAGTATTTGTTGGAACGTCCAGAGTTCTATGGTGTTGCATCGTAACTCAAAACTCATTGTGTGTTTATTGCAAATGATTTGGACCCTGACACTTATCAACTGAAATAAACACTTTCCGGGACTGAATGAGTTGAATAATGTCTGTCAGATACTGAAGCAGTTAATGAATGGGGCCACAGAGAAACAGTAACTATTGCTATGAATGAATGAACCAAGAATCACCATCACTCTACTCTAGACATTCTCACATCTGCTCACCTTCCTTCTCACTAACCAACGATGAGTCGACATTCTGATAGTACCAATTGAAACCTGATTAAAAGTTTACCCCACCCCCCCCCCCCCCCCCCCCCCCCCACCAGTTTTGAATATCCTTTCCTCATACCCTGCTAAATTATTCTTTCAAGGTATGGATTCTCTGTTTGTTCTGTTGCACTATCAACCAGATCCCAGAGAACCTTCACTTGATCATACACTAGCTCATCGACCAGATCCCCGAGAACGGTCACTTGATCATACAGTGGCTCATCAACTAGATCCAAGAGAAACTTCACTTTATCAGACAGTAGCTCAACAACCAGATCACAGAGAACTTTTACTTTATCAAACAGTAGCTCATCGACCAGATCCCAAAGAACCTTCCCTTGATCATACAGTAGCTCATTGACAGACCCCAGTGAACCTTCACTTGATCATACAGTAGCTCATCGACCAGATCCCAGAGAACCTTCACTTGATCATACAGTAGCTCAACGACCATTTCCCAGAGAACTTTCACTTTAACATACACTAGCTCATCGACCAGATCCCAAAGACCTTTACTTTATCATAAAGTAGTTCAATGACCAGATCTGAGAGAACCTTCACTTGATCCTGGGGCATGGCGTCATGACCCATGTTGGCCTACCTTTCTAGATAGTTTTGGATGGTAACCGGCGGAAACAATTGTCGATGGAGGATCTTCTACTGATGACGGGCAGACTCCTGCTGAGTATGCTCTCGTGTAGAGTTTTCTTATTATAGTTTAGTGTGTATCAGCATATCCTGCCAAACCCACATTTATGCAAACCAGGGGACACTGTAGCTCTGGCAATAATTACAAAGTAACAAATTGGCCAAAGCTCATCTGAGCATCAATCAGTACACAGTAAAGATAAGGACTTACTTGGACATAAAGAGGAACTAAGGCAAGCAGGTCAATGATGTTCATCAAGGATCTAACAAACCTCATCTTATCGGGAGCAAAGATGAACCTGAAAATAAAATACAACTATATAAACACTGACACTAAAAAAATAATACTGAAAATAGGTTCACGAATTAGATTGTTGAATCCTTATACTCTATTTAAAATGTATATTTTTTCCATCATCTTCTGTAATTTCCATTCCATCTCATTTTTTTTAAACCATGTTCAAACACTTCCTGTGAAGCTTTGGTTATAATTGTGGTACCAAATCGGGACGGCTATGGAGTTCTTTAACCAACACTAATGTTGGTACATTTTCTGGAGATACTATTATAAAAACCTGATTAGATCAAAACAGAAAAAAGTGCAACAATCAACGGTTTGCTATCATTACACTTTTGGAAATTGGTACAAATAATTATCTTCGTTCCCTGAAGCTAATGATATCAAATTAAAGAGAATAAAGATTGAAATTACCAGCAGCAGTTGAAGTATGCCCCGCTGTTTTTGTCACCCTAATTTGTTTCCTGCAGTTCCGAATCAGCAAAACACTGTCAAACGTAATTTGCTGTCAGTAATTTTTTTTTATGAACTTGTTTAATTTTTTAATTTCCAGAGATCTGAATATCCAATTTCTATTTGGCTTATTTATCTTTATTTTTGCTAACAAAGGAAGTCTTCTAACTTTAAATTTAAGCCTGTTTTAATTTGAGTCTTCGTGTTAGTCATTCAAATCGACAGTGTCATCTGCATTTTTTGCTTCACAATTTTTTAATGCAGTTATTTCTCATCTAGTGATCCATGGACTTCCTGCAGTTCACGGAACATCTTTTAGGGGTTTATGAAATCAAAATATACCCTGCCCCCCCCCCCAAACACTTTTAAACTCTTCGGGTACCAAGGAACTCACTAATTACTTAATTACCCCAAAGGCATCAAACTGTTCTTGTATTCTTCTATAACAGAACAGCGCTAAGTTAACAAACTGTATCAGATTTGTAAATTTACCATCTTATGTGGCATAATGAATCTGGTGTAACTCCTTCAGACCTAAACATTAAAAACTTTTAAGTATAACATCTCAGAAATAACAGGTTTAAGTAACAAATTCCTAGGACTAAAAAAAGATAAAAATGTAACGGGTCCCTACCAGGGGTCTGCAAGTCCTAGTTAACTGGGAACCACTATTTTAACTGATGACTGTTTGCATCATTCCCAACTTATCCATCTCCTCTGGTCTCATTTTCTACCTTGTTTTTGATTTGAGTTAGGTCAGAACTGACATCACAACACTCGGAACAATCCCATAAGCACTCTGTCCCCGTTTGTATCAGTAAACGCAGATGATAGCAGTAGCAGTCTGACTGTAGGTCCGCCTTGCCTATCCTTTAAGTGCTTAGTGTCGACAAGATGCCCTAGTGACTCTTCGCTGCACAATACTATTCAGACATTGATAGTCACTTCACGCTTGTTCCCTGTTTATGACTGAGGTGACTAGAAGAGCAAGAAACTCAAAGATGTAGAAGAGGAAATGAAGAAGCAGAAGAAGAAAAGAAGAAGAAGTAGAAGAAGAGGAAGAAGAACAAGAAAGCCACGGGAATTTTATGAAGCAATTGATTAATCATGAATTAAAATAAACACATGCTTAGGACATGAAGGAAAAATAAGTTCCGCAGAAACTTTTCAATCCCTGATTTATCAGGCATTGCCAAGATGGTTATGCGCTATTCTAAACGATGACAGTGGGTTTAATAAAAAAGATGGTGAAGATTACAAAGTTAAAGAAGGATGATGGCTTAAATTAAAAGATGATAATAATCTGCATTAAAATCACATGATGGGTTAAATTAAAAGATGATGATGGGTTAAATTAAACAGTCATCATCATCATCCTTTGTGTGCTGTTAGACGTCACTTAAAGCTTGCATTCCATTTCTCCGCTCCACTTTATTCAGGAATTCCAGAAAAAGTAGACTAAAAAGCTTTGAGCTTTATTAGCTTGACTGCAGTCACCCCCATATTTTCTCCTATTTTCTCCACTTTATTGCATGGAACTCTTTGGATTTCTGACATGCAGTTCAGTCCAATAGGAGTTGGGCACAGTATTACACTAAATTAGGGCAACAGGTTAAATAAAAAGATGGTGATGGGGTAAATGAAAGAAATCGCGATGGGTTCAATTATAAGATGGCTATGGGTTAAATTAAAAGACAGCAGCGAATTAAATTTGATATGGGAAACACATAACTTATTCATAAGGCACTTAAAAAAAAAACAATAACAAAACTAACAAAGTAACTGTTACCTGAGTATAAGCTCGAGAGTGAAAAATACAGTACAGATGATATCAACAATTGTTAGTGCTTCGTGGGCTGTCATGGCCTGTAGAAACCAATTATCAGTTACAAGAAGCAACAGTAGCAAGTCAGTAAAACATATAAGACACTTCTTGTGGCAGCACAGCATCGGATATATGATTCTAGACTCTAATTTTTCACAGATCCTTTGGCACTTAATGGGTGATGTAGTTGACACCACATTGGTCTCTTTTACTTCAATGGACATAAGTGCGTAAGTAAGTAAATTGTACCCCACCAGGACATCACACAGAGTGATAAAACACCCAATGACACAAAGTGCCACTATGCGAATGAGGATCATCCGGGGAGAGGAAAACCCTGTTCGGCAAAAGCCAGGGTGGGGCTTCAAAATAACTAAAAATTGCATCCCACAGGTGGATGACGGGATTGTTATAGTATCATCAATGGACATTAATAGTAGTAGTACATTTTACCCCACTAGGACATCACACAAGCGATAAACACCTGATGACACAAAGTGGCACCATGTGGATAAGGATCTCCCGTGGAGAGGTACCAGAAACCGCATTCAGGAATTAGACCATATTTATGGCCGGGCTATATTGCAGCCCCTGGCAAAAGCCAGAGTAGGGCTTCAAATAACGAAAAATTTCATCTCACAGGGAGATGACTGAGTGTGATTGTTACGCCTAAAGGAGTGCAGAAGGGTCCTTAACTATTTTTACTTATAACTCACAAACGTTTTCTGTATTTCGTGTGTTCATTAAAAATGAAGCGTTAACTTCTCCCAAACCATATTCAATACACAAGTTACATTTTCATATGCCATTATCACTGCAAGGTTTCATTTAACAGTAACATTTGCGGCCCAAGTTATTGTGCATTTCTTCATTTACTACGACAATCAGTAAAAGTTAGCTCTCGTTGGATTTATATTCCCTTGAATATTTTTTCCCTTTTTCATCCCTTACATTATTTTTTATTTTTTTTTTTATTATCTTTTTTTTTTCTTTTTCAAATCTCTGTTGAAACGTATTCTGTAAGATAATGGCGTTAGAGAAGGTTGTTGCTTTATTGGTCAGACTTGGTGCACAACATGTCTAATTTTAACTCTTCCCGCGTTACTGAACCATCACTCCTAAGAGGAGCTAAGGAGGCGATGGTGCTAACTATGCCAACTGGTCTAGGATGCTCCTACTACTCCACCTCGGGCCGTGACGCAGGGGTCAGCTCTTACACCCTGTAAAAATGTATTTGCTACAGAAAATTCGGAAAATGACCAGACATGCATTGAAAGGGAACATTGGCGAGTTTGTTGTGCTCGCTTCTCCGTAGAGTTTCTGCTACATATACGGCAGCGGTGGAGACCAAGATGAGACTAAAGAGAGAAAGCTTCTTGTGCGCACGCACGCGCACTCACACACACACACAGACACACACACACACACAGAGAGAGAGAGAGAGAGAGAGAGAGAGAGAGAGAGAGAGAGAGAGAGAGAGAGAGAGAGAGAGAAATGCAGAATAATTGACAGAGTAATAAAGACTATCATGACAGATCCATAGATTTTCTAAACCGTATTGTCCATGATAAAAGCGTAAAATTTACTGTAAGGTCGATAAGTACCGTAAAACTGGTTTAACTGTTTAAAAAAATGCATGGGTATCAACAAACAAACAGACATCTTTTAAACTTCCACGGATTACTTTAACACCCTCCTGTATAAAACTGTAAGTGACTGCACTGTATGATGGCCGAAGTGACTAATCGCTGGTGACGAAGGAATTCATCTGGCGCTTGATCTGGAGCTCCACAAACCAATCATTGACAAGTAGCTATTGTATTATATGCTAGTCTCAGTTGCGACATTTCTGTACATTATTATTTTCATTGGGAAGTTCATATTGATCGTTTTGTTCAATTAAATACAATATGTATGTATTATCACTTCTAAAGGATTAAGTTTTCATTTTCGTTGTAAGCCGGCAGTTAAATCACGTTACTGTACAAATGTATTAGGAGATTTCGATTATTCGTCACAGTCTTAGTCCAGACGGTGACGTTAATGAAGTTTTACTGTATATTTAAACTATTATAACCGTGTGTTCCTTATTTTACACATACAAACACTTACACATGCATTCACACAACGAACATCGTTTAAGTGACTGCGGACATAATAAGCATACATTTAAACTATAAATTAATACCAGCAACTGTCTTTATGCTTCGTCATTGAAAGGTTAAGGTAACCCATATTTTTCTATATCTTCACTGGGATTATATCCTGACTATTTGACACGTAATGACTATGAGAGCCAAAGTTCGGGTGCCAGTCAAACTGGAACAAACCCTTAATACCCAGTTCAACCCACAAACAGTTATATCAGAGCATCCTACGGTTATAAGAAACACCATGCGTGGGTACCGGAGAACGGCTGAAGTAAGTAAAGGACCCTTTTCCACGCCTTTAGGCGTACAGGGCAAATAGGGCTAGACCTATATTTTTATAGACCAATCGGCACAAGATAGGTGATGTGGTCAGCATCACGCCGGCCACCTTTACTTCCCAGAACTGCACCCGGTACCCACTCAAGGCTGGGTCGACCTGGGAGCCAAGGTCATTTTTGAAAATAGTTGGGCTCCGCCAGGGAGCGAACCCACGACCTTTCGATCCGCGGCGAGCGTCTAGCCACTCGACGGTAGAACAGTTGTCTGTTTATAATTCCGCCCTCCTCCCAACCATCAACCCTATCTTGGGGTTGTAGCATGAAAGACTGACACCCAAACTACTGTTTGGACGCGAATTCAACAGAAGCAAATACCAAGGGATCTGTCCTGGGTAAGATTGATCCAGTAGACAGTGGGCAGAGGATCTGGAAGATTCTCAGGGAACACGGAAGAAATATAGGACAGGTTGTGACTGGTACAATCACCACAGGAACCTTTGAGTGGCTTAGGTACAATGAAATGGAGTACTTCAAGGAAAGTCAGGTACGCAGTGACGTCAGTTTTAGATTCATTCATCATCATTCATTCATTCATTCATTCATTCATTCAAACGGTAAGAAATATATGAGGCACAATGTGATGAAAATGCACTAGTTATCTTTAGGTATATATCTGCAACAAAGAACACCATGCACCACATAAATAAAAACCATCTTAATAAAAGCTTATAAAACAGTTCACCTTTATGTTACATGAATTTAACTCACTCCAATTTTGTAAAAGAACTTTATCTAATAAGTAGTTACAACAGCGCTTTGCTAAAACTAAGCCACGAGTAACGCTAATCAAACAAAATCGTGCAGTACAAAGAAAAAAAAGTTCAATACATTCAAAACATTTAGCAAAACAAAACAGGAAATTAAAATATATAGAAAGCAGTGAAAGATAAATAATGCTCTGCAAAGATAATGCTGGGAAAAAAATAACTGGAAAAGTAACATAAACTCACACACACATATACAGATTATAACTATTCTTCTTCTTCTTCTTCTTTTCTACCCCCCAATGGAGCATAGGCCTTCAACTAACTCACACCAAGTTGTTCTATCCTTCGCTATTGCATGGAGCTCTCCCCATGTCCTCCCTATTTTTCTAACCTTATTCTCCATCTCTCTTCTACTTTTGTTTTCTGGCTTTCCTATTTTCCGATGCCCCTTTTATTTCAAATGTATCTGTTATTACCTTTTCCTGATGAAGAACTCGACGTTTCATATCTTTATATGTTGTCTTTACTAAGTTAATAATTTTGTGTGGGATTCCATAGTGCCCTATCGATTTCCAGAGAGATTCCCTATCATTGCTGATAAATGCTTTTTCATAATCTATGAATCCAATGTAAAGTGGTGAGTTCAGTTCAATGCTCTATTATTATATGTAATGTGGCTATGTCGGCTCTGTGGCTTAGTCGATGCGAACGCTTCGTAATGCAGGGGTGCCGGGTTCGATCCCAGCTGCGGGCCATGAGCCTTGCGTTGGTTTCGATAGTGGTATCAGGGGGCCGACCGTCCAGGAAGCAATGACAAACTACTGGACGTAAATTTGCCTAGAGAAACCACACAACAGCCAGGGGCTGCTGGGGCTGGTTCTGCAAAGTCCTGTAAAGGATACGCAACTAACCTAATGTGGCTGTCTGATCTATTGATTGTAGATATTTCAAATGTGGAGAAACTAGAAAGTGACATTTATAACTAGATATATGGAAACCACTGTCAAAGGACGGAAGTTTTGCATGTGTTTAGTGTTGGGAGATTGCCTCCCTGAGATGGACAGCATCTTGAGGAAAACAGTTATGTTTAGTGGCGCGGTGATTTCGGTCACAGGCGTGAGGGAAAGTTAAGTCCGATGGGATGTGTACAAGGAGATACTCCTCTGTACATCAACTCGGGCGCTGGCATGCTCTGTGCTGGTTTTACGGAAACTCGTGCAAGACTCCTGATGCACGTCCCCGTCGTGTGCTACAGATAATGTCACAGAATTACCATTAATAAATGTAAGAAATGTAACAGTAACTCCCATCCTTTCATTAAATATTAAGCTATAAGCTGCAGTTTTCTCCATAGTTTGGGCATTTTTAGTCCTACAGGGACTAATTTCCAATATAGCCTAAATAAATTTACTTACTTGTTCATTTATGTAACTCATTCATATTTATCTTCTTCTTTTTATAGACACAGCCTTACTTTTTTCGTTTCGTATTATAGCCCTTTGCATTAATATTTTGTATCTTCCTCTTTTTATAGACACTGTCTTACTTTTTTTCATTTCGTATTATAGCCCTTTATATTCATATTTTTTTTTTAATCTTTATCTTTTTATAGACACTGTCTTACTTTTTTGTTTCGTATTATGGCACTTTACATTCATATTTTTTATCCACCTCTTTTTACAGACACTGTCTTACTTTTTTCGTTTCATATTATAGCCCTTTATATTCATATTTTTTCCGCACTATGTACTTTCTGGTTTTATACTGACCTTGATTTTTTTTTTTTTTTAATTAGCTTTCTTGTCTTGTCCGTCGAGTTTTCCAGTGAAAATGTCTGCTGTATTTA